AATGGTCGAAATGATTTCGACCATTTCGACCATTTCGGATATCCGAAATGATCTATTTCGACTTCATGTATAATCATAAGTTAGCATCGATATTTCCAAACTTTTTCAAGAAGTTCTTTGAAGAAGAATGTTTTGAGTTGAGTGACAATTGAAAAGCACTTAGATCTGTTGTGAGAAATGTTGTGTACAAAGTTCACCAGCGAGGAAGGAACTTAAAGTCTAATAATATTAATATATCTATCATTGCTTGAAGAAGACAAGGCAAAGATGTTATCGAAGAGATCTAGGAGTTTAGGAAGGAGGGGAAAGTCGCTGAACCTGGGGTAGTTTATAAGTAAGGAGACAAGATGTGATTTGATGAATGAGATAATATTGGTAATTATGGTAAAATAAGCAGGATACGACCATAAATGCGTGGCAGTTTCAGACACTAGATTGCAGCTAATGCAGTTCCAATTTTTGTAAAGGTTAGGGCAAAGCTTTTTCATTCTATTGAGTACAGGGAGTTCATCAACAAATTTTTAATTATTAAGGTTTTGAGACGAGTGTCAGCAAAGAATGTGATTATTGATGATGAATCTAATGAGAGGATGTTCTAAATAGAGAACCAGTTGATATCGTTCGAGCAGGTAAGTAATCTAAGATCTCTATTTCTTTGAAGAGAGAGGAAGTCTTCAAATTGTCGAGCATTGAAAAATTGTTTGAAGAACTTTCAAATTGAGGATTCAATAGTGACGTTCTGGAATTGCATAGCGAGATTGTGAAATCCTATACCAGTTAGAACAGGAATCATTGCAGGAAGAGAGCGACCATTTTTTGCAAGAGATTCAGCAATATCATTCAGGATATTATCATTATGAGCTTTAACTTTGTGTAAAATGACCACAAGGGTCAGAGAATCAATAATGTGCTAAACAAGATTCCAGATAGTATAATTGGGGATCTTTTCAAGAGAGCGGTTAGAGAGGCGACAGTTAGTGATAATGAAGTTAAAGCCATGAATTAATGCTTAGCTATTCATGTGAATGTGGATCTCAGATGATTGGGAGAAACAAGGAGAGCTGTCATAAAAGCCAACAACTCAATACGAGTGAAAGAGTGCCAATTTTCAATTGAGACTTCAAATTAATGATATTTAGAGTTTGAGTTAACACAGATCCAGCCAATGCCCATTTTGCATGATTCAGAAGTAGGATCAATTAGTAAACCATCTGTGTAAAAATGGAGGAGTTTTGAAGTAGATAACGCAACATAGAGAGAGGAAAGTGTATAAAGATGTGATGAAAAAGGAAGTAGGGTATTGATGATATCGACAGATTCAGGAGTAATGTTGAAGGAGTTGGTAAATTATAAAACATGTTGAAAGTGATCTAAGAAAGTTCATTTAAAGAATATTTGAGTCGCCTTCCTTGGATGTTAGGTGAATTAGGTAGCAAGTCAACTCAAAAAATTCTATCCGTTTGAATTCTGAAGGTATAACTGTTATTTTGGGCATTAACCACAAAGTTCACGCATCCAGTGCATTTGATGAGGGAAGTACTACAATCATTATTTCTTGTAGCAATATAATGGAAACAAATAAACCATCCAAGACTTGAAATCTTGTCAAAAATGTGACTGAAGGAAACAGTATTTAAAATTGGGTTCCAGGAGACAATAAATTCTTTTCTTTGATTGACAGGGATAGAGGTGACAGCTAAATGTTTATAAATAGGTAAAGGAATATCTAATCTATATTCTAATTAAAGTAATCGATTGCTATTATTATCTAAGACTAATTCTTCTAAGTCGATGAAAAATCTAGAATTACTCATACGCAAGGTATGATGATCAAAATTCCTAAGAAACAAATCAGATTTTTCTATTAAAGAATGGCCTGTAGCTTCGGTAAGTTGATCTAAATAAATAAGATTGTATTGACGAAGAAAGTTGGAGTATTTAGAAATCAAATTGACAATGAAAATATTGGTTAGGAAAAATTGTCTTCCATTAATATGATTAATTAGAGTAGGAGACGAGGTAAAGGATAAATGTGAAGATGAAAATTTGATTAAACTCAAGGAAGCACCAATAAAGTTATGATGAGATTGTTGATTAAAGGGCTGAATCCAAAAGTCTAGGGGAGAAGTCAGAAGAGAGCATTGTGATTGTAATTGAAATAAACAGATAGTAGAAATATGCTTATAAAGCGAATTATTATTGAATTGATGAAGGAGAGCACAGGAAAGAGACTTAATTTGTAATGACCAAAGCTTATTCAAATTATAAAATTTGTAGAAGTTTAACAAGACATTCAGAAGTGTAATGGCAAACTTGTTTTTCCTTTTAAAAAGTGAACAAATAGGGACAAACAATTTATCACATTTGGAATTGGATAAGGGAGTGAGTTGAATATGGTATTCGATAAGAGGGAATAGAATCATATTAATAATATACACGAATTGTTTATCAGTAATAGGTTTGTATCTCATAGTATTGATGAAACGTTGAATATCCAGTGTGATCTGTTTTTTAATGAAGACAGCTGAGCATTTATAATTAATCCAAACTCCTAAGAATCTTACAGATCCCTGTTCAGCCATCAAATCAACATAAGATGAGCCAAACCGTAAATTAACTGAGGGACATTGGAGATGTTTTATAGAGAGGAGTTTTAACTTTTGTTTGTTAAGAGCAGAATGTGTGAAGTTGTAAAATTCGTCCACGACTTCTAATATGGATTCAAGGTCTTGTTGATTTCTAGCAATCCAATTAGTATCATCCATAAAAGCAAAGGAGGATACTTGAGCTGATATATGATTAGAAGACAAAGTGGTAAGATCGGAGATCCAATGATGTTCAATAGTGTATCCTTTATTAAGGTTAGTGATTTCACATAGGAGAGGATATACACCATAAAAGCGGAAAAATAACTTTACCTTGGTCTATACCGATTTTAACATCGTAAAAGTCTGATATACTATGAGCAGTAAATACAGCATTCTTTCATGTAGTGAAGAGGTTGATCAATAGGTCTACTGCATAATTAGGTACTTTAATACAATGTAATGCCTTACGAAGAAAGGATAGGTCGACCCGGTCATATGCTTTTGAAAGATCTTAAAGTAAAATCCAAATTTCCTTATTATTTTCGTTAGCATCCTCAAGTAACATATTGAGAATTTTAATGGGAGTCTCCGTTGAGCTTCCTGGCAATCCAGCGAAATTGCTACCTCAAAGGATAGAGTGTTTGACAATAATATTTGAAAGACGATTTGTAAGAATTTTAACGAATCCTTTCCTTACAGTTTCAAGTAGTATGATAGGATGAGTTTTTGTGATATTTCATTTCCAAGCCATAGGTTTGGAAATTGGAAAGATGTGCGCAATTTTTCATTCGTTAGGAATATTACCAAAAGTGAAACATATGCAAATAAGTTGCCAAAGAAGATATTGTAATTTGTCACCAAGATGAGTCAGCATTTCATTAGTGATGTCAGATGGACCTGTAACCTTATCCTTGGGTAGCTGTTGAAGAATAGCTAGCCATTCATCAATTGTAGAAGGTTGAAGAAGATTGTCATAACAACTACTGTTAACGTAATCTTTCAGAAGGTATTGATTTGTCCAATGTAAAGGCAAAGGTTGAGACAGAGTATCAGGTAAAGTGAAATTTTGAAAATGATGTCAAGTGGCATCTTTGATCTCCTTAGGATCAATAGTGAATCTTTTAGTGCCATTCATGGGATCATTAATTAACAAATCATTTAAGATAATAGTATTCTTCTTTCAGTTGAAAATAGAATCAATTATGTAGGATGGATTGTTGAGCAGGTTGTCACAACATTTATCAATGAGTTGTTTAATAGCCGAGACTTTGAGGTTGTGGGTACTATTTTTACCAAGTTTGAAAGTGATTTGTAAGTGGTAAGAAGGTCACGTTTGACATTGAGAACAGAGTGTTCAGTAAAGAATTAAAGGAAAGGAGATGGGTATAAGCTTCATTTTTTCAATAATTTTTGACATAGTAGACGATGCTTCAGTCCACGTTGAAACTTTAGGCCATTTTTTATCTTGGATCATCTTGGATTTGAAGAGCAAAAGTATTGAACAAACTTTTCTCGCAGCTAAATATGAATCTGGTGACTCATGTAACTATTTATGATTATTATTACGAGAAATCTAACATTGTGGGATGGTATATTTATTCGTAGCACAAATAGCAGTTTTGATATTAGTCCATAAGGAATTTATGTTGTGACGTGTAGGCGAGAGGTTTTTGAGTCGGTCAAGATTATGACTAAAGATGGTACAGCAATTGATTTCAAATTTACAAAATGTTGCAACATAAGCTAAAATTAGTTGCAACATATATAGGTTAAAACTAATTGCAACGTAAGTTGCAACATTAAAAGTTGCAACATATTAATTACAGTTCCCATCTTTAATTATAACAGTTATAATGGAAGTCAGTGTATTTAGCAAAATCAGCCCATTTAGATGAGTTTATCGAGCGTAGGTTAGGTAAGTCACATGTGACTTGAGTTAGGTTATGAAGGTAACTTCATAGTCTGCTGATAATTTCATAATATAATGATAACTTCATAATATAATGATAACTTTATAGTCTATTGGTAACTTCGTGTCATAATGGTAACTTCATAGTCTGCTGGTAACTTCATAATATGATGGTGATTTCATAATCTAAATTCATGATCTGGTAGTAACTTCATAACCTACCATTCATAATCTGATGGTAACTTCATAATCTACTTATGGATAGCTTCTTTGTGTTTATTGCATTATTTTATTCATTTTCTGTATAATATGATAGTAATTTTATAGTCTAACGGTAGATGGTCTTGCTTTAAATTAATGGTGATGTCATGATCTAATGGTTACTGCTTTCTTTTTGTTCCTGATACATTTACATGTTAAATTCTATATTGTTGGTATCAGCTTTCTATCCTTGTTTGGATGCCTGGTTCCATGTTAAGGTTACTGGCCTTCTGCATCTGACTGAGTGCTAGATTTTATATTGAGTTGCTTACCCTTTACGCCTTTTTGGTTGCCTTTCTAAATATCAAAATTATATAAAAAAAGAGGCAATGGTAGTGCGGTAAATTTGCGATTAATTTTAACTGGCTCTATGGTATAATTTTGGCTAATCTTTTAGTCATGTGATTTGGGGATCCAGCTTGGCGTCATTATGGTGACTTGATGGTATTATAGAACCATCATGAAACTGTTGAAGAACTAGTAGAGAACTGGCAGGATGCCTGAGAGGTTCCATTTATTCGCTAGTTTCAGTCCACTTATATGCCAGCTTGGATGTCGAGTTATTATGCCTATAGTTCTGGCTGACATTATTGTTATTATTCTGCGCCTTCAGTTCTGAGCATTTCTGAGGCCTGATCATGATTTAATCTAGGTTGAGACGATGAGTATGCTATTTTTTTGCTATCCCTATAAATTTTTCATGGGCCAAAATTTTTGATAAGTCATTAAGACCAACTTATAGCATTAGGCATTTTCAGAACTGTCAGACCCTGAAGGCAATGAGATAGGCTCTCGATAGAATAAAAATACCCGATGCAATAGAGTATTGGTCTTAGAAAATTATTTCTAAGGCAGAAATTTTACTGGACCACTTCCTAAGGTAGAGTTTGTTATAGGAGAAAGTGTTCTTTTTCAATTCGACTTGTTCTTGTATTATCTTTCCTAGATTCCTTAGGAGGTTTAATAAAAATAAAGTTCTAGAAAAAAAAAATTGAATTTTCTATGTTATCTTTTGGTATATATATCGGTATGCTATATATATGTTATATATATGCTATATTTTTGCTATACCCTTAAAAAATAAAAATAAAAAGTAAAGAAGCCCGATTTTCCTAGACCATCTAGACTACTAAGGGCAAACCATTCAAGAAACTATTTTAGCGTCTTAATAAAGTTAATTTGCTATTTCGCTTCTACCTTTGGAAGTCAAAAATTTTCTAAAGCAGATTTTCTAAGACATTTAGCTTCTTTCTATGGTAATAAGTTTTTAAATAATACTTATCTACATGTAAATTACACATACCATGAATTGAGGTAGTTGGTTTCTCACATTATTTACAAGAGTTTTGCTGACGTCTTTTCTAATGAATTTTGCATCCTTCTTCTCAGATACTAGCTTGTTCGTATACACTTCCTTCATTAGAAATATATTGGTAGATAAATTCAGCTCTCATTAGGTATCTCTTAAATTACTATAATTATTTTTTTTATTTAAACTTTTTTTCCAGGATAATATATCCTGAGTTTAGGATATAGTATACCTTTCAAAAGTTATCTAAAAATGATCCAATCTGAACTTTCAGATTTCCTCGATATCTCTAACCGTACTATTGTAAGTTCAAAGCCTCTGATATAGGTGCATGCTTATATAAAATTCGTGATGATAGTGTTAGGCCAAGACATTTTTTAGGCGTAGACAATGCGGATGAGATAGAAGCTATTCTCTCAGAACGTGAAGACCATTTCTTACATGAATTCATTGATAGGGATGAGCCACTCCGACCTATTATAGATTTTGATTTACCACAAGAAGTGCTTGTTAATATTGAGTCTAAGCTAACACGTAAAGAGGTACAAGATTCACTTATTCTTACTTTTAGAAAGACATGTTTAGAGTTATTTCTGAAGTGGGATCCTAAAACTATAACCATTGCTAGCAGTAGCGATGTGAAAAAAATATCTCTCCATATTTTCACTTACAGCATGAGACTTCCAAATATTGCTCAGGTTGCAGTATTTACCGAGCTTGTTTGTAAAAAACTTCTGACAGCTCTATAAAAAAATAGTATTATTGATAATATTGCAAATAAAAGGTCCTTCTTTTTGCGGATGCTTGGATCGCCCAAATACAATGAAAAAACAGAGGAACATGTTCATGTGAAAAAAGTAGTTTATCTAAATGATAGAACTATCTTTGACTTCATGATTCGTTCGTCCAATGATAAATCAAAAGTTGTCGACAGTCCTCTTTTGGCTGTCCCAGAGCGAGAAGATAAAAGATGCCTGATCGAAGGAAATGAAAATACTGATGCCAAAATCGGCCAGGCTGAATTCAATTTTATAAAAACATTACTTAGAGATAATTCTATTGAAGGCTACACTCTCTTATTTCCTTCAAATAACATCCCTGACTTATTTCCATTAGTACGCAACTCTCCATTGTATTGTCAAATATGTGATCAGGAACATGAAAGTGATAACAGATATATTTTACGAAATAAAAAAACATATAGATTTTATTGTCATTATGCAAACCACAAAAGAGAATCTGGAACTATAAATCCCTCAATAAAGCTTACCATTAGCGAAACTGCTTTGCAATGGGAACAAAAGCTTCTGAGTCCTATAAAACAAGACTGAAGTAGAATTTCAGATCCCAATAACCACTTTATATAGGGTGACCTAATTGATATGTGTAATATAAAGAAAAATTCACCTGCAAAGCTATATACAAGGCAGTTCAAGCGACAATAACATGTATACAGACAGATACAAAGTTATAGGTACTAAAACTTGAGGATTCTAATGGTGGCCTTTTCTTCAAGATGTCATTTAAACTAGATCTAAAGAAGTACGAAATTAGCTTAGTTGAGATAGGAGGAGATGTGGTAAAATTGAAAAATCTAATAGATCAAGCAGTCATGAAAGGTAGGATTCTGCAATTTGATTTGATATTTAAATATTTGATTTGAAAATCAAATCAAATACAAATACAAATTTATATTTGATTTGATTCAATCAAATTCAAATCAAAGAATGATTTATTTGATCAAAT